AATTAAATTATAAATATATCAATTCATGTGAATATGACTGAAAAGGTGGTGTCTATTTACGTGTGACCACGTTGTGTACATATATATTTACTCATAAATGCTTACATTTTATGTATTTTTCTTAGAACATGATTAATAAATGACAATTACATAGAAAAACAATGATTTCTAGTACTTACGAGAAATTACGGCGATAGGAAAATATTTTGCCCTCGTGTGCCTTTAGTGCTAAGCCTCGTTTATTTTGTAGAGTGGAGGGTGAAGAAATACAATTTTGTAGGCTTCAAATATATATTTTAGATAGAAAAAATATATTACATTACTCTACCAGTACACCCAAAACATCTTTAACTTGCTTGGGTTTATAAATAAAGAATATATTGTTAAAAACATTTTTTATGTTCGTTCAGAGCAACAGCTTGGTCATCACCATTCAACAGTCTTGGCAAAATTATTATTTTCTCTTCCAAGCTCTCTACAAACAACTGTCAGAATCACGTAAACCAAAATTTGTCCTTTCTGTTGGTTATAAACAGACCCTTAGGAAAAGTAGGTGGAACTAAACAAGTGGTTTGGAAAGAATGGAGTACGAGGAGGTGCTGCTCTAGTTGATTTGCTAGATACATTGATTTCTCAGCAAATCAAAGTGATGGGAGGTTATAACTTTATATTTTAGCTTGCCAGTACCTTAATTAATGTTTCTAATTTATTAACAACTTGTAGATGTATATAGTAGCCATAGAAAAAATATAAACTGAGCAACAAGACATGAGGAGGTGCTATGTGAAACACAAAAATAGATATTTAGCCGTATTTTATTTATATTTTCTTTTGAATTAAGAAATTGAAAAATACATAATATTACAATTTGAAATAGAAGTAACATTTTGATGCCAATTTCATTGATATATAGTAATAATAAAGTTTTTAAAATAAATCACTAAAAGACTGTCATGCACAGTTAGACTCACCCGTTGCAAAATTTTATTCTTGTTATAGTTAATTTGGATTCTGATACTCTTAAACCTACCTCCTAGGAGATGAGCTTCTTCTTCGGCGGTCTCTTGACTTGGAACGAGACCTAGAATGGCTATAAGAGTGACGGCTGTGTCTTCTGCAAGAAAGTTTTATCAAAAGAAATCTATATTAAAAGATATAAGGCATACAAAATATATTGTGCATAAAAATTTTACAAGACATATTCATTTAAAAAAAAGAAAATTTTTTTTTTACAAATACTACAGTCGTTGATCAACAATTGTACTATATTATGCCACCTATAAAATATTTACTACAACAAAAGTATAAACAGAAAAATTACACTTACTTTAATTGTTAAATAAGCATTTAAACGTTTTATGATAATTTAATAGCAAGAAATTCCTCTAAAAGCAATGAATGTTTTCATATTTTTAAGCTTCAACTATAAGTTGTACTAAGTAAAATATTTAATAATTACAGTCTTATATACATGTTGCTAGTTACAAATAAATTATAAAAATATATGTAAATACATTTTAGAGAGATGCCATCTGTTTTACTTTGCACTGGCTGAAACCTTATAATTTGGTGTCACTGTTACCACTTACGATTCTCTGTAACGCGGTGAACGACTACGAGAACGTCGACGACTACCTCTGTAATCATCATACCTACTGCTGTAATAAGGAGAGCGTGGTCGACGAGTTCGTTCTTTAGATCTCATTTCATTTGGAGCTAGTGGTTCAAAATAAATAGTTATTTATTACAGAAGGCACTATATGTTAAAGTTACTTACAAATATGCATTTTTGGCAATAAGATGCCTGTTTATTTATTTTACTTAAAGTAGAGAAAATCTATTTTGAATCAAATCAACCACAAATTAATGGAAAAGAGTTCATACTCAAAGGAATAGTGAAAAAAACAATAAATTTGAACCATATTATCATCTCTGCAAGTCCAAAATATAGCAAAAAAGTCTGAAATTTATACTTTCCTTATACATTATATATAAATAAATAAAAATAAGGAACACACTTCAGATATGATTTGTTTACAAACTATATCCTGATTAGCTATCCAGTAGATTCTGAAACCAAGGGTGACAGAATTACTTTTTAGATTCTAGTTTCGAAATTCATACTGACTGTTAAGATTAGTCCAAAACTACTAGATGACTTTATTCAAAAGAATGATTTCACTGATAAATTTGAGGAACCAATTGTTTAATTCAATTTATGAATTAGTGTCTTTATTGAACATTCTCGTACCAGATTTTTGTAAAGTGCTCGATTATTAAACTGTAATTTTAAATCCATTTAAGTTTACATATATCAAAGTTTTCATCATGCTTTTCACCTGCTTTTGATATGATGGGAAGTGACACTTCAGATTTTATGACAGTTGAAATGAAATGAATACACACAAGGGGCTGCATTTAATACTGATTAAGTTTTTCATGCATGATACTAAAAATGTGCATTACTTGTATAATTCACATGAGGTATAGCAATGTTTAAGTTAAACAAAAGTAAAAAGAACTTGCAGAAAATGTAAACATTTTGTATCACTTACTCTTTCGATCACCTTGAGCAAACTCAATCTCTAACTCTCTTCCAAAAAACCTTGTTCTATCCAGTGCATACATGGCATCTTCAGCATCCCGTACATCTTCGAACATTCGCCTGAGTTAAGGTCCCGAGAGGCACAATTAAACAAAAATACCTTCACACTCATTTTTCTTAAGTTGTGTTTAACTGGAACTGTTTCCCACAGCCCATGTGTGAAGTTTGTCAACATTTTTACAATATTTCCATAAACCTTTATATTTAACTGGTAAAAAAATTACCTTCTTTAGAGAAAAATATTAACCACTTCATGTCATCATTCTGCAATTGACCCACTATATTCAAACAGAATGAAAAAAATCTTGGCATGCAAGATTTGCATGCAAATTTTAGATTTTTAGAATTAAAATGAATTTTAAACAGGCACGTACATCTGAAATATGAAAGACATTTCCTTGTTTAGTTGCTCTCATACTGTCAACAAGTATGTGATTAAAGTTTTGAATGTCACAAGACAGCACATGCATCAACTTACCCATGTTTCTCCACTCTCCCACTTTCCATGTGGTTGTTGCACTTAATCACATCACGACGGTGTACATAAACTGCTTTTTCACTATAATTCAGAATTAGTAGTGGAATTGTGGTGGATACTACACGGTTGTGAGGAGATTGATGGGAATGTATTTTCAGAGGAAAGTACCTGTTTGGAATTCATTTTAATTCTAAAAATGTAAAATTCAAAACAGGCAGACTTATCTCTGAGATACAACAAGCCAGAATACCCACACTGTGATGGAAGAATGGAACTGGAAATAGAACTATATGGACCACTGGGTAACTAAAATTTGTGTTCTTAAGCAAGATGGTGACAACCTAGACCACAAAAATTAAAAATGTGATCAAGCACAGCTGAGGAGAATCCAGAACCAGACTTAACTCATGAGAAGCAGACCAATCTCATAACAGACTGGACCAAAGATGGACACTCAGATAATACATTTTTCTCAGCAGGGTACTTTCTCACCATGATCACCTCTTAACAAATATATATGAAATGGGATACAGGTGTGATCATAGGTGGTGGCATAACATGCAGTCAGGTTCATATTGCAATGCATTGTCCTGTACCTCTTGTAAAAGTAGTAGTTAGACCAGAAAAAACTAATGACTGGACATGATCCTGGAGTTAAGGCCCCCATTCATCCACATCCAGTTAGGCTAGCCAAGTCACAAAACCAGCCCAGACAGCAAGCACCCAAGGAGAACCTAAAAGAACCAGGCACACCCAAGAATAGGCTCAAAAACTGTAGGACAATGCAATTGGAACACTGAATAGGTTAAGAAAATAAAATAAGTTGTTTCCTGTCCAGATTGGACCAATGAGATCACATGAGGAAAAGTAGTCTCCTCTCTGATGTCTAATGACACACATACATGTGAATGTAGAAGTGGAAAAGGTACTTTCTGAGACATCATTATCATCCAGATGGCATCACCCTCTCCATAAACACTAATGCAAGGGGTCAAAGTTGTCTAGAACAAATGTAGAGGTATATGTAGCATGTGAGAGTCCTGACTGGATGAATTACTTCAAACAAGGAGTCTCATCTACTATGAGACCATGTTTTTCTAATGAATCCACAACTCCAAACACCCTTGCAATTTGTGGAACAAGGTGTTGGCAGTACGTTAAAACTTGAGTTATCATACACAACAAAAGTGTGGAAACAAGTGGTAAAAAAATAATTCCCTTCCTAGAGATTCCAAATGGCTTGAAAAAATCACAACCGGAGGTAAATGGAATCCTAAAGTTAAAGAGACAGCAATATGATATACATAAAAGTTTAAAAGCATTCAGATTTGTCCCAATGCAGGTCTGCAGAATATTCTCTACAGGGTATTGTGGCAGAAAAGCCTAAGACATCGCCAAATGGCAATTTAGAGAGATGTAATTCAAAATTCACTTTTAAGGTGTATGGGAACATTTTACTAAAATGGATCAATTGCACAAGCCAATTGGTTAAAGTAGTTACAATCCAAAGAGCATAATTCATTGTTGGGTATAAATAAACAACTTTTCAAAAACACTGAAAGACTCAGCATGTGAGAGATAACAAATAATCATGAGAGGACATACAAAGCATTCTTCTAACCAATAATCAGGAAGGATAGGTAACAAACTGTATGAAAAAAATATTGGCTACTTTTTCTTGCACCCAAGTTTTAGTTAGAAAAGAACTATCATGGTTCGAGAATAATGCTTTCTGAGAAGTAGTGAGGGCATAAATATCAGAATGTCATCTGCAAGATGCCAATAGTAAAAGAAAATTAAAGTGTAAGAAGATAGAACAAACAAGTTTAAGGTCTCAAAAGGGATAGAAGCCAAAAAACCTAATACCAAACCAAAGTTCCATATAGAAGGACAAAGCCTAGTAACTCAATTTGTTGCAAGACAAAAGGTTCAGAACAGAACTTTGAATAATGACCGATGACTTCTTTGGCAGATAAGGCAGCTCTGTAACCAGCTACAGAAGAAGCTGATAAGACACAGTTATGAACCAAATTCATAAAAAAAAGCAATATGTTGAGGAATTGGAGAAAAATAACATATGTCTAATACACCTACTCCAAGAGACACCCAAAGGACTGATAAACTGACAGTCAAGAATGGGATAATAATCAAATCACCCATGAAGAGGATTTAGTTTCTCACACAAAGGACTAAACAGTCAGCCATGAAGTCATAGATGTCGAATACCATTGTAAAAATGTTCATGTAAATGATGGTTCCATGTCAGAAAGTTGATGTAATTTGGGAAAACTTAGGCTGGGCAAGTCAAAGTGAAACAATGAAACCTATTTTCAGTAATTTACCTTGTCTAGAGCCTAAGGAAAAAGGCAAAGTGCAATGCAAGCACAAAGGAAAAGTTTCTCCTGAAATTTACACAGGGCATCTACTACCAGAGAACTTAGATCTGTAAATCAGTAGTGTGAAAGAAGATTGCTGGTAGATGTAGGAAAGCATCAAACAAATGACCCAGACATTAACAAATCCACAGAAAAAACAAAAGTTGAAGGGTTTACTCTGTGAAAAGAAAGCATTGACCTTGAGAAAGAGAGTCAGCCAAAACATTTATCACCTCAGAAACATGACAGGTTTGAAGGTGCACATGGTAAGAATGAAACCAAATAAATTGAGAAGCTTTAGCAAAACAAAGGCTGCAAGAACCTATACCTTCCTGACAGACATGTTGAACAACAGTTTGTTAAAAATCTTGAGAAGGTAGCATGTGTTCCATAACTTAATCATCCAAACAATCATGAAATTTTCAATGGACACCAGCATACAATTTGACATTAATAGCTTGAATAAGTTTACCAATAAGGGATGACAATGCAGCCACAGGAAAAATCATCATAGAAGTTGTACAAGTCCCAATATTGTTGGAAGTACTTGCATTTAAATTAACACTGATTTCCAAATTTATTATAGAAAAGTTAACAGCACAAATGTTAAAAACAAAATCTTGATTATGATTGGAAAGCAGGATCAATAAGCCATGTGAATATTCAGAACTCCAGTCATATGTTTGTTGACAGCATGAAAGCAGCTCAACAAGGAAGAGCTTTTCATATTTCAGAAGTAAGTGTGTGTGTTTTATATTATATTTTATGTTATCACCCACACTAAACATGCAATTATTTTTAGTTTTTTCAACCCTTCATATTACTAGTGGATTTCTCACTTGATCAAGTTAGGTTGACTTAAAATTCTTGTTGAAAAAAAAACAATAGTGAAAGAGTTTTAAATTAATATAAATAGCTTGTAGATTCTCACAGTATAATATATGCACCCCAATTTAACTATTTCACTAAAGCATTTCCTAGCTTTGCATATAACCTACTACTGGTAATGTTCAAACTCTGATAATTCTGAGTAGGTGTTTAAGTTCTAATGCCTTTAGGTAAAAGAATATTATGACATTTTACTTCTTCACTCAGTTACTAAAATAAGCATTTTTTAAACAAATGTAACATTTTTTAGTGTGCAGTTGATTGTAGGTTTTTCTCTAAGTACTGTACAACTATTTTTCATCTGAAGGAGTCTCTTGGCTGTCAGCACTCTTGCTGTTCATATGCCTCACCAAGAATTTCAAATTTAGTGGCCCTTTCAAATTTATTTTTAAGATAACTGCCAACACGATACTACATTTTAGAGTTCATTGACTGGTCAGTTTTACCTGGGCTTATTTGTTGATAAAAGAAAAATAACCAAAGTAATTTCACAGAATCTTTATTTAGCAAAGACACAGTATCTTCTATTAATAAACTACTACTATTTTGCAATAAAACAAAACTACTCTTTCTCAGTAGTTATTGTTTCTTTTATGTGTACAGTATTTTTAACTACCCTAGAATACAACACCATTTCAATTAGTTTTTAGTGAGCAACAAAAAATTGATATGTGGTTTTAAAACACTGAAAAATTATATTTTGAATGCTTAACACACACTACTCCATACAATGGAAATGACTTTTTCCAGAAACTTTTAAAGGATACTTTTACTCACTCCATTATACTGTAATAAAAACATGAAATTGTATTTGGCTAAATAAAATTTAACATTGTTATTATAATGCTTTTATTGGTTATTAGTGTTCTTTATATTTTATGTTTTATTTCTAACTCTGAAATCATATCATTAGCCTATCCACCTATACTTATTTTTAAAAAAACACCGTTAGAATATTTTTTTTTACCAAAATAATTTTAGGTTTAATTAATTGTTTAGCAAATTAAGCTGCGCTTAAGATATCAAAGCAGTAATTTACTAAACAGCTGCATTCTTACGTATTTATAGGACTAAGATTCAACATTTTCTGGAAACCACCTTACAGCCCCTAAATTAATTTGAAAGTGATGAATAAATAAAAAAAAGTAAAGTTAATAAAAAATTTATGTTGTATTGCTCTGCACAAGAATCAAATACTTTATTATTTATGGGCATACATAGTTACCACTTAACACAACTTCATGCCTGATTGTGCCTTTTATAAATGAAAATATCAGGTCACTATCCTAAACTTGTGAACAAACAAGCAAGTGACAGAAATGCCACAATACCTGGATACAGCTTGAGCTTGTTCTTTATTTCAGTGCCTTCATAGTTGCTTGAAGCCTTGCTTTCCACCAATCACACTAGTGGTGGTGGTGTGGTACTAAAAAGCCTTGTTATATGAAAAAACCATTCCAGTTGTACTTGACTGTAGTAATTTTCTTGACTTTATTTAGCATACATGAGTTTGTTTGCACTGTTCTTGAATCACTTTGCTTGGCTTGCTTACTTGACCATACTTGTTATCACTGAAATAATCAAGGTTTTCCATTAACTAAATTACTACATTCCATACAAGAAGACTGATATGTGCCACATTCTTCTGGGTAGTCAGCTCACTGGCAGAATAACTATGTGATTGCTTGAATGCTATATCATGTGAACCATTCAAAAAGTTTATTTATGTTTGTCATAAATTTTTTTTAGCAACTTGTAGGTAGGTAACATAAATTGCACAGACATGATGCAAAATTACATTTGATGGTGAAAGGATATAATACTACATTATTTACTGATTATTACTCTTAAAATCAACATTTATTTTCAGCTCATTACATATTTTTAAAAAAAACTGTTCAGTGTAAACGTGTTGTAAATTGAATTCATAAACAATCTTCAGCTTGTAATGCTGGAACTAGCAGAAAATTTAAACATCTGAGCAGTGTCACGTAACTGTCAGTTTTTAGAAGAAATCCATACTAAAACTCACACTAAACATGTTGAAAAACATTAGCAGTTTACTTGACATTTTATACAACGTTCTAGTATGCAGTATTTCCTGTTAATTATGTGATACTGTTCTTGGAATTAATTCAACACTTTTACTGTTAACTACCAAGGGTTGAATGTGGAATAATAGTGTCTCTCAAAACATATAATGAATTTGATGATTGTGAAAATTATATCAGATAAATCCCTTACATGATTGCATCATGTAAAATTTGCACCTAACTCCAATTCTGCACTGTAGTATCAGCAGTTTATGCAACATTTTTTCTGCCTAAAATATATATAAAAATAGGAATTTGAAGTTCAAAATTTGGGAACATATATAATTTGTTTCGAAAATTACAGAAATTTCTTGAATGAAATAAGATTTTTTCCCTTCTACTCAAATCTACACACTACTAAGAATCTAATAGAAAAAAAACAAAAAAAACAAACAGAAATGATATCCCACAGGTTTATTTCCTGGAATTCATTTATATTATCACACTTTCATTAAAATACTATAATATGTGCTAAAGATGAATTGAGTGAAAAATGAAATGGTATTCAGTAATGCATTGTTGCAAAAGATGCTGGTTCATACATTGGGGTATGCACAACAATATTTGGCAGTTTCTCTCTATTTTCTTTAAAGTAGATTTTGGCAGAGTGTTCAACATGTGAACTAAGCATACTATGGGCTTTTTGTTTTTCAATTATTTAAAACTGGGAACACCCGTGAAGATGAATTATTTATGTAGATTTCTAATATTACAAAAGTATTTGATAAGATTTATTTCAATCTAAATGTATCTGCTTAGCACTAAAATTATGGTGAAATGGTAGTGTTTTTATTTTTTCCAGATTTGTGATAGCAGCTGTAACCTGTCACATATAACACTCTACCTTTCAACTTGACTAGGTGCCTGTATGCAACACTCGAACACTTGCTTGAGCACTTGAAACTTGGCTCAGGAACCAACCTTGAAACAACAACACTGCTTGCTTTCTGTACTTGCTTGTATTATACAGCCCTGTTTTATTGGAAGGACTTGAATTCTTTCCCAGTAGTTAAACTTGTTTGTCTTGTTTAACTTGCATTTCATATTAGTAACTTGACAAGCTTGCAAACTTGGAAGTTAGATCTATACCAAAACAATAAAACAAATTTATTAAGAAATTGTTACTTCGTTAAATTCTCAATGTTTCAATTAAACAATATTAACTCTATCACAAGGTCTTCTGTGTTATAAGGCACGTTCTGTGATGATCATGGTGTAAGCGCGGCACTTTCCTAATGCCCGACTATTCGACATAAACTAATTGTTTAACAATGCTAATCAGGACAATAACTACTTAAATTGTCACAAGCCTAATCAAATATTCTAATGTAGTCATTGCATTTGGAGTTAATCAAAAATTATCCAATTTGTGGGGAAAAGAATCAAATAACACAGCTTTCTGTATTTCTAAGTTTTTCTGTTTTCTAAGGTTTTTAGTATAGTTTTTATTATTACCATAATAAGTTTGACATTTCAAAGGACAAGCAATTGGTCTCTTCCTATACAGTGCATAAAAAAAGAAGCTTAAAATGTCTGTTTTCCTTGGAAGTTTACAGATTAATAGTTGTCAATTATTTTACGTTACTTTTGTAAAGTTAGCAGTATCACAATGCATTCCTTTGTTATGACTTTACAAATATCACTAATGTGTAAAGGATTGAGACCCAGAGTCTATTTTCCAGATGGATGAAACATCATATTTTGATCATATATCTCAGAGTTGATAGAAAATTATAATTCTATATCTGGGCTCTTTTGAAAATGTTCTTAAACATATTTACTTATTAAAACAGAATTTTTTAAAATAGGTTTCTTTCTATGGTTTATCAAAAAGAAACCATTAAAACAATTTTCACAAAAAACAAAAAGTCAAAGTTCTATCCCCTTCCCTCAATGGTATAGTATAGACGTTTGTAATGTCTTGGAAGATTTAACAGCCATAACACATCTATACCACATGTGCAGGCACATACAAACTAATTAATACCCACCACATCTGTAAATATAAGAGTAAAGGATATTGAATATAAGCAAACCCACGTGGTCTTCGTGTATAGTAGTCCAATGGAACATACACATCCGAAATAGGTCCATATTTTCCAAAAAGGCTTCTAAGATCTTCTGATCTATGAATTTTAGAAGGCAAAGCTTTGAAGAGAAATCAGGTTCAATGCTGATGCAAACATGCTGAGCATTCAATATTTCTTTTTACACTGGCTTTAGGAAATATACATTAGAACATGATTGTAAAAGTTACTTCTATCATTATAAAAAAGTTATCCAACTTACCTTCTTAGCTAACTATGTCTAGTCAAACACCAGTAACTACTTTAATAAAAAGAAAATATTATAGGTATCAACCTCATTCTGTAGAACAAGTGTCAAACTCCATGTATGCAGTAGAACTAAAGTTCGTTAATGTAGAAACAGAAGCTGTTTCATTTGCACTTACAGAATATACATGTATTTGATATTGTATTTGCAAGTAATGTGAATAATGAATATTTTTGTTTGTTGCAACAGTAAAATTTTCCATTTTCACTCATTGCAAGCTTATAAATGGATATACAAAATTTTAGTTTCTTTGAAAGTAATATATAATTCAAAGTTTTCCAAAAATGTGATTATATTGAATGTGAACTTGTAATGATCCCTGAAAATAAAGTAACTAAAAACTTCATATTTATTTGACAAAAATGTTATCCTTAATTCTAACAAAAGAAATGGATAACAACAGTGACATTCTTTTTTTCACCAAGATATTTCAAAATATTACTGATGCTATATACTTATTACAATTTAAATATCAAATTTCCATGAGTCCCTTGCAAACTTATATATTCCCTACAAATTACGTTAATAAAGATATTCTCTTTTACTACTGTGACTACAATTAATGCATATTCAAAATATTACTCTTACACAACACCCTTTATGAAGAAGTCAGACAGGTTGTAACGGTACATATTGGGGTAACAAATATTTCTTCACTCTTAAATTAGTATAATGCTGTTTTAGTGTTTAGCAATTGGTTAATCTATATGCATATCAGAGTGTATATGTTACAAGAGGACACAAATGAAACTATTACCTACAATATTATAAGCCAAGAATGAAATAAATCATACTATCCAAAGGTTATTTTTAGAAATAAAATCAACTGAGTTTAAATATAAAAACAAAACAAGATTATAACAAAGTATTAGATTACCTCAAAATATTTAAATGTCATTTTTTACCTGTATATCATCCTAAATTATTTTGACTTTAGTACTACATTTTTAGCCTATCCTAATCATATAATGCATTTCATAGCTATATCACTTCAGTCAAAATAAAAAATATATTTAATTCATAAAAAGGAAAAGATTCAAGAGCAAAATTTATTTCTAATAATCATTTTTATTGAAAAATAAAAAAAAAAAAACCTCTATATTTCTAAAGATAAATTTTGAAGAAAAATTCATAGATCTTAACACAGGTACACTTTGAAATAAACTAATGACTTATCACTATGAATAATCATGCCATTCTTCAAGAGGTTCATTCTAAACAGTAACTGGATATTCTGATATAATAAACTGTTCTAAAAGAAAAATCAAATTTTTAAACAATTATCTCTGTACTATATATTAGACACTTTATTCCATACAAGTTTGTGCTTACTGAACCTTAATTTTAGCCTTTTCTTATATGTATTTCATCATGCAGAAATATATAATTATTTCTATATATTTTTTGCTCTATCATTATGAAGCATACTAAAATTAAACCCCTAAAATTGTATATTCATTTGATTTATGCACAATATGTAGAATAAACATTTCTCATTTTACACCTTTAGTATGTTCAAAGGTATTTTGATAACACTGTATTTGCAAGCTGAGAAAAATATTTTTTAATCTTCTTTGTCCACTGAGACCAGTGAAATACAAAAAGTACATTTTCCCTTCATAATTTTTCTCATCCCAATCAAGCCAATATTTTTACAAACTAATCTAATGAAAAATGTGCATGAATTGTACATTACTTGTACCATTATCTGTAAATAAAAAAATATATTCAAAATTAGTTTTAAAAATTTATTATTGATCATGAAGTTTTATTTTACATACACAACCAATTTTATATCCATTAACACATTTATATTTGCAGTTTTCTTGTCATACATTTTTTGCCTTCTGAAGCAATTACATAACCTCACACGATTTAATTATTTACCACCAAACATCATTCAGCATTATATTATAGGCCAAAGTACTTACTGGAATACAAAAATATTTTTGTATTTTTAAAAGGAGAGAGCATAGCAAAAAGAAAAAGCTACAAGAAATAATAAGAAATTCCTATATTCCTATTTGCCTGTATCCAATCTTGAAGTTTGGATGGTCTTTATCTCTTGAAAACTTTGTGGATGATTAGCAAGTTGTTAATGTGTTGGTCCCTCCCATTTACAATGCTTTTAAAAACTGATTAATGTGGTAACTAACATGGAAAATCCACTTGTCCACAGCAAATTTTTACCCATCTAAAAAAGGTGCTGGAAAATATTCTACACTGACTTCTCTTAATCATACATTCTATCTATTGCTATTTATATTTATAAACATATTCAAAATTCATTTTCAATCAAGCATTTAATGAAATCTAACCAATACACAAAAACTTTGTAGCAAACAAAAAACATACAAGGATTACCAGGAAAGCTAATATAAGATAAAAGTTAAAAAAAAATGAAAATCACAAACTTCATCTTCTCAATAGTATCTACTATCATCACTATCCTTGCAAAAATATAATATACTTTTGTTTCTACCATCCTCCCTTTAAATTTAGGTTAGTTTCAGCAGTGATCCCAAAATAATTTTAGCAATTTTTGAAGAGGCCAAATCTTTATTTCTAATTTTTGTCTCAGGCCAAATTTCAATTGATGTTGTAGTGTAGTGTTCTTTTTGTAAAAGAAAATTTTCTTTTAAAAATTATAAATGTCACAAGCTGAAACAAACACATTAAATATAATGTCATATAGTTTGAGAATACTTATAAACCAGAATAGGTGTGGAAGTTGTCACTGCATAAAGAAAACCCAGTCACAAACTTCTTGCTGTTAATTGAATACTGAGCACAATAACTTTTTACAGTTGAACAATTATTTTTCAAAAGAGAATATCATTTAAAAAAAAAACTGTTTACTCTAGCCTATTGTTTCACAGATCTAGCCTAAATAATTTTTGCTGTGATACCTTTAAAGTAGCTGAAATTCATTAGATTATTACATCCCGATTATATCAATTCTGAAAGGAATTTTAATCTTTTATACTTATTATTACTTCAATATAAAGTAAAGCTTAGTACATTACTTGTTTGTACAGTTGTAATGCATATTCAGTTAGCAATCAGTTGTTTTTCTAGTTATTACCTATTTGGTAGCCAAATAATTGAAATTTCACATTTAGAAGGAACAGTATGACTTAAAACTACCACAGGTACTAGGAAGTAGGTTATAAATAATTATTAAACTAATACAAAAAGTCAATTAATTAATAAACTTAGTAATGTAGATTATTAATAATTAGAGCTGGGCAATTAGTGGAACTTCCTAATTGATAATTCTCACAAGACTTGGATAGTTGGAACGAAAGAAAATAGTTACATTTGCAAACACTAATTTTGAATAGTTCATTACTTGCATGTTGTGACACTAGTTCATTAAGCTAAACAACCATAAACTGTAAATAATATTGAGAAATCATAATAGCAATATTCTATTAGTTGATTATTTTTGCTACATTAATAAATTCCATTGTAATTTCAATTAATCTAATATTTAATGTGACATTAATTGATATAATCAATGGAAATAAGTAATAGATTATACTGATTAAATGAAATAATCACCCATCTCTTTTTCAAAATGGGAACGAGAAATTCAACTTCAAATATTAGAATTTAACAATTATTACAACATTTCAAATTTGAAATATATGACAAATTGTTTCTGTTAAAACTGGTGGTGGTAATAAAAACTTCATATACTAAATGTTTTACTTTTAGTATATCTAGAAACATAATACATAGTATTAAATAATCAGTCATTATTACTAATATTAGTAGATCAACGAATGTTATTCTTATGTCATATTAGACACGTGTAAAACTTTATTATTTTACATAACTGATACTATAAGTATCACTATCACTGATAGTATCGGTGATAAGCGAATTTGCTCAGGCTGTTACTGAGGTTTAGTATTACTCATACCATAGGTCATAAACAACAAGTGCCCATCATATGCGAATGTATCTAACACTCATTCAAAAACATAGCATTTCTACCCTGCAATATACTATGTAGTTCCGGAGACCAGGAGACTATACACTGCCAATGTCATAATATAATTTATAAATAACATTAAAATATACAACAAAATGATTCGTAGTTTGGCGCCATAATAATTTAATATTAATAAAAGTATACCGTTACAGTTACACTGAAACAATGATAGACCATCTCACTGTCATTGGAGAAATTATACGGACGAAAAAAAAAGTACATTACGCTCTGAAATAGGCTAACTTCTCAGTCTATAAATATAATTTACGCTGTTGTATTTTAACACAGAAATTCACTTAGGCTTAAGAAATTAAGTTTTTTACAAGGGTATATTACAAGGATATAAACTGCATTACTCTCATATACAAAACAAAATAAGATTTAAACTCTAAATGGCTTTGTTTTTCATTAAAATCCATTTACCTTGCTCCATCAGGAACATTTCTCACAAATAAAGAAGAATTCGGCGGCCGAGAATATCGCGACATCTTCCAACCTTGTCCGTATTTGTCTCACAATACTGGTGGCTCACTCTTAATGTTATACACCTAACGGAAAGCTTCAGAACTCGGGGGAAAAGAAAGATAATAATTAACTATTTAATTATTGCAGAATACAGCAAATATTAATTTGTTTAAGTGTACTCAACGCAAAATACTACTAAGTAAATAAACCATATATTTAATTAAATTAGATTAAGATACAGGTTAACTTTATTTCATAAATTACTAAACTAGAAACGTACAAGTACATTTTTATTTTGCTCAGTACGATTTTGAAGAAATTAACATGTGCAGTAAAGTGAATCCACCATACTTTTTCAAAAGTAAATATTGTGACATCCAAGAAATAAGGCTGCCCTATTTAGCGAAGTTCAAAAGACTGGTAGTAATAAAAAAATGGAGAAAGAGCAATAGCTAAAAACAAAGAAACAAAAAAGTAGATGTGCTTATGTCAATGGTTTTTCAGAATACGCAAATTATACATTAGCGTAATTCGACACAAACCACACTTGAACTGTACTAATCTCACAGTTTTTTAACTTGCCTATCCATGGGGGTGGGGGAGATCTGAGTAAGAGTTCTTTAAAAACGATACCCCCATTTGACATGCAGGTTTGTTGTTTTTTAATCCGCGCAATTTTATTTGTAGGGCATTTTACTGTAAATGTACCACATTGTTAATTCCCTGAAAAGTAGGTAAAAAATATGGGTGCTCGTTTTGTTTGTCTGTGGAATTTCGTGCAAAGTTACTTGAAAACTATCTGCGCTAACCGTCCCTATTTTTGAAGTGATAGCCTGGATGGATGGCAACTAGTCAACATCCATTGCTTGACTACTATTTTATTAACGAGCAGTTTGATTGATAGTCACATTATAACGCTCCTATGGCTGAAAGGGCGAGTATGCTCGATGAAGGGGATTCCAACCTGTGATATGCAGATTACAAGTCGAGTGCCCTAACTACCAGGACATGCCAGATCTATGGGTGCTCCTCCAAATTTAATTTGTGTGCCCATTGGTTCCCCACTGTTTGCTATGCTCTATAATTGACAATGTATGTTTTGTTCCCAATACGATTTGTATCTCGTGGTGTGGTTGGTTCCCAGAAATGTACAGAAAAGTGTTTTAGTCAGAAGGTTTAGCCCACAGTCAAAATATGTGTACACTGTACAATATCTGTGGTGATATTATGTTATTCCTAGCAATCTAGAGTTAAAAATATTATATTTGTACTTTTTCCATAGTCAATTATCCTCACTCTTATAGCATAGATTATGCACTATTGTCTGACATCTCAATTTTCTTTGAAACAATGCAATCTTCTGCAAAGAACAGTAAAGTCAATCTTAGACTACATCTCTTGATCAATTTCCCATTTAGATGTCAACTTCAAAGATCATGTGTAAACGTGGGCCCACAATATATGTCAAAAGAAGAGGATAGCACGAACAACGGTTACATTCTTCATGTTTCATAGACACACTGCTGTGGGTTTCGATACAGCCATACTTTCTTGAAGTTCTGGACATACTGCACAGGAATTTATCTTTCATAATTGGTGTCAATACGTTCTTTCGACAGTAAATAGTTTACCTTTGCTTTGTTTCGCAAATGTGAAGTTTATATTTCTTGTTATATTATAAACCTGTAGCAATCATAAGGTTAATTGAAAAACTTTATTTGCGTTCTCTTTATCACCTTGGGATCAGCAACAAAATGTTTGTTTTTTGTCTCGATCATTCAAGTACGCCAAAGCCTCCCCAGTATTGCAGTACAGAATAGTGCTATGCACCTGTGTCCCCCCCTCCCCTTAGTAAGATTTTATTTTTTAATTATTGTGTTTTTCAGAGTTTTCTATTTGAACGATGATATTTGATCCACAAACACTTTAACATTCGTTTTGAAAACATATAAGTTGTGTGGGTTTGCTAATTGGCAATTATCAGATTTTCCTGCAGGGAAGATAGTATGTAACATTCAGAAATATAAAGCTATCTCTCCTGTCAACTAATCGAATAAGGGCCATGGGCAACCACGTAATAGAACTCAACTCACAGTGCAAGGTATGTTTCATGTACAAACCTGGCTTTGTTTGTGCTTATGTTTTTGTATATAAAACCAAGGTTTGCCTCTGTATGAAGAACCCCTTTTTTAACTTTTAAGAACTTTAGCTTAAATTTTGTGACTTTTGTATTGCGTATAACTTAAGGCCCTTTGCTCCTGTACAATGAACTCCGAAAGTGTGACATAGTTTTTCTTGTTTAATTTTGGATTCAGTCTCTAAAGTTTGAGAGTTACTTTAACTGTACTTAGAGAGCTAACAAAAACTTTAAATCTAAGATAACTCCGTTTTGATTCACTGTACAGTGTAGCGTTTGTTGGAAAACAAGCAAAGGTTTAAATAAAAAAAGAATATACTTTTACTTTGTGAAGTTTGTTAACGTAACATTGGGGTTTCACTTTTGGTTTAACTTACAGGAGAACACCGAGTTGATTGCAGCTTTTAAATAATCTTTGCTTCAGTCTTATTAGCTTACAGATAAAGTTGAAGAGATTGTGTGGCAGTTGATCAATGGGGGAGCATCAAAATTACACGTAAGCGAAAACACAACAGTTGATACATGCCAACAAATCAAATCAAATAAATATTAATCAGGTATGCACAGAGGTTGTAAACTATAGTTTGACATCTTTACATACTTATATATGTATGTATTAACACAAAAAGAAACATGAACCTTCATATTGTAAGAAAAGAATGCACTGCTAAGTTATAAAATATTCCAAGCTTTAACTGAAGAAATTACAATCATTAACTAAGATTATATAAATAATTATTAGACACCTGCTCTTCTTATATTTTTGTATTGTGTTGTTACTTATGTAAACAAACATTTATGTACTTGTGCTTTTATTGAGATGGAGTCTTTCTTCTTGACAATCGTGGTAGTAAGTTGGAGAAATCAATACACTCTGTAGTCGAGTATCCTTTGAACCTCCAGTGAGCTAGCCTAACTGACAACTCTACAGGAAAACAGTTCTCCTGGATATAAAACATTATTGCAACAAACTTCTATTTCTCATATGGAATGTATTTTTTTCGTACAGTTTATATTTTTCTCACCAATGTATATGGGAAGCAGCTTGTACACTTGTGATTTGTTTTTCTTAGATGAACAGAATCTTTGTGATTTATCTACACACATAATTGGAACATGTGTAACTTTTTATCAATCACTTTGCTTTTTTATTTTCCTGGCCAACCAGTTTGCAAAGTTTACAGTGGTAGTAGCAGTAATCTGAGTGTGGTGGGATGTTCTTTGGTTTGTTTTGTTTTGGATTTTGCACAAAGCTACAGAGGACTATCTGCACTAGCTATCCCTAATTTTGCATTGAAAGACTAGAGGGAAGGCAGCTAGTCATCACCATCCACTGCTAACTCTTGGACTAATCTTTTACCAACAAATAGTGGGATTGACCATCACATTATAACACCACCACAGCTGAAAGGGCAAGCATGTTTGGTGGGATGGGGATTTGAACCCGCAACCCTCAGATTGCAAGTCAAGTACCCTAACCACCTGGCTGGGATGTTGTATAGATACTTTTTACGTCCTCAATTGGGCCTTCTGAGCTTCCCTTGCTGATGTTATTCACTATGTTGTAATTAGTTGCCTTTAAAATTTTGGTGCCCTGGACTTCGCATCTACTTTCTATTTCACTATATGAACATTCAAGTTATTAGAAATTGCAACTAACTTTTTACTCTTTTGATATCTGAAGCATACTGGGTGTTGTTTTCCTTTCAAACAGATGAAAATTTTATACTCATCAAAAATTTCTCACCAACACACATGACTGTATAATTTAATATATAGGAAAACTGATGTTATTGTTGTCATAGGTAATTTCCCCTTGATGTAGCTGAATTCTCCAATGGAAATTATCACTAGAGTACTCTGTTTTCTCTTATGACATTAATTATTCACTGGCAGGTCCAGCCAAAATATGAGGGTGACAGGCTACAGGGACTCTTTTTCCAATTTTTGGGACAAGTTTTATATATATATATATATAAAAGTTACAAAAACAAACTTAAACACTTGGGTTTGGGGGTGCATTCCAAGATTCCAACACTGTTGCTATGTAGATGTTTAGAAATACTTGGAGAATGTGTCTTCCTTGTTTTAGTTCATGGAATGACAAAATGATGTGGGTGACCAGTGCATTTGTGATATCTAAGTAGTCTGTCTTATACGATTTTCTTCTTGTCAAGATCTCTTTCCGTATCCAGCAAAAAGTGCTATTTGTTATTATGTGAACAATTACTGCTGAAATATACTTAATAGAGTAGTGTATTTTCATTTCACCACTAATTTTGTGCCCAGTTTCTTCTGTCATACCAATCATGAGGAAACACAGCTGAACTCTGCATAGCATTTTCTGCCTTTCCTCTAGTCATTGTGGTTAATATTCTTATTTGTATGATTATCAGGATACTGAGAATAATATATGCTCAGTACTACTAACAGCATGTGGCTAAGTGAGAATCTGGGTAAAGTTGTCAATAACAGAACGATAACAGTTTCCAATTTTACTAACACAGTTACAACTTGTATATGTAATAGGGTTTCCTATCATCCAGGATTTATCTGGAAATATAAGAAAAAATATATATAAAGATGTTCTGGAGGATAATATTCAGGAATTTAAACTTGGCAGAGAATTATTTATCTACCTACATTTTATGAATATATTCTCTGTTAAACTTAACATATACTTAATTATGCCATTACTTATTCAAAATGATTATTTTTCTATCAGTGTTTAAAAGTTGAGTACAAATTCCCTTATGACTGAAATTTGTTTCTAAGGAGTTATTAATTCACATATAAACCTTTTTTTTTTATTCCCCACAACACTTAAAATACATTTATACCAGATTAAAAGTATTCCATCTTAGCATTTTTAGTGTGTATGGGGGGAGGGATGCTTCCAGACCTCCACAGAATCTCAGGTAAAACTGTAACCAATGGGAAAAAATGAAGAAAATTATTTCAAAATCAAACATCATAAAAAGTAACACTGACACAAATGTAACATAAAGAAGTAAAATGTTTATTTTCACACAAAGTATTTTGGGTGTGTTTCTATCCACACTTTGTGAGAATCTGTTAGGATTCTACTGGCTAACCTCTTGTACGATTTTTTCTCCTGAAGCAGAGTGGAGAAAAAAAAAACTTTTCAGAGAGAGATGAAGACAGGAAGGATTTTGTTAATATCCTGTTTTAGTCAGATCAGGGCCCTAGCATGGTAACCTAGAATCCTAGGTAACCTATATCAGAGGTTATCCTCACATTACATTTTATGGGAGTTTAACTAAACTGTGCACATCTTTGTATCACTCCTCCACTAGTGTTTACTTCATACCTCTGAACGAATGAGTACAACTCTCTTGAATGACCACTGCAATAATTAATTTTGAATGAGGCAATAATTAGAGTAAGTTAAGGTTGACTACATTTTGTTTGCACAGATGTTAACTAAATTCAAGAACGTGTACGAATATTTCTACCTCATTAACAATATATTCTTATTATACTTATGAAAGGGTAAGATACTGCCAGTTTTAACTGCCACATCCTTGTAGTGTCCAGAAAAATACAGGATAAAAGTTAGGAACCCTAAGATTTAACAGCAACTTCAAACTTTTACAACTAGATCAAGTTGGAATGACTTATGGTTGTCTTGAATATTTAATAAGATAAGAACATTAACCAAGTTACCTAGTATTGGTAACTTTAGACAATTCCAAGGTCATATATAAGTTAAAGAAACAAACTGATGTTCTGCATTTGATCCATAAAATTCCACACCATCACCATTCACAATGTCAGAGCTAATACTGGTGAAGTTTTTTTTTAATCCAGATCACTGACCCATTGCTAAGTAAAGTAATAAATGTTTAGGCACAAGACAATAATGTTGGTGACATATCTGCACAGAAAGAAATTTATAGACATAACTATACAAATAAATTTCTTCCCATTATAAAAAAACATCTGATATGCTATTTGATTTAATTAAAGCCAGTTAAGTCACAAACCATTCCTGCATGGTTACACTTACTTGTGGTTAACTCAAGGATTAGACTAAAAACAAGCTAAAAGTTACCATATAAATAATTTTTATCTTAACTCTTAAAAAAAAAAAAAACAATTTTATACGTATTAATATAATTTCAAAATATATTATAAAAGCGACTTAACAGCCATTCTTCATATACACAGAGTCACACTTCAAAGCTTTAGGAAGTGTTTTTGTCTTGAAAATTGAAGGTAGCTTTTGTACAAGGTAATGGCCCATATGTATACAAGCATCCTGTTAATTGTCCTCTATGCTTTGTCACCAATATCCTTTAAATGTGTAAAATATTGATGAATTATATTTCCTTATAAAAAAATCTATGTTTAGCTAGCCACTGTTTAATTTAGCAAGTGTGTGTTCCTATTCAGAAACAAACATTTTTCTCTAAACTGCTCCAAAGAAAGGACCATAGATAAGGAAATGACGAGAAATTGTCTGAGAATAGAGATGAGAGTTATTATGTCAACTATATTATATGCAATAAGAGCAAAACACACATTAATAAATTACAATTCCATGAAATAAACTAAATAACTATGATTCTTTAATGTAAATGATGGAGTGAAACCAGGGTAATTATGATAAAGTAAACCATACATCTTTCATACTTGGCTTAAGTAACTGAATAAAGTAACAGCACTAGACTATTGTGAATAGAATGCAAGACTGTTAAGCTCAAGCATAACTATCTGTGCTCTCTGGCTGAGCCTAATTCAATTGTAACAGTCTTTACTGCCTGATGAAGGAAGGGCATCTGCTTCAAATGTTGCATAAAATAAATTAGAAAAAAGTTTTCATTTAGATGTGTCAATTTATTCTTTATTATCTTTTATCAAAGTTTGGGAGTGTTGAGCTCGATAAAAAATTAAGAAGTTTATAAGCTTAGATTCCAGAAAAAAAGGGGTTCTATTTTTCTATGTTACACAGCTACAACAAACACATTTTTATGTGCATGTGTAGTAATTACAATAGTATGATATCCTAAAATTCAATCTTTTTTTAATATTTTTATTTTAAAATTTAACATAACTTTGTGCTAAAGTCACCATTTCTGACTTATGGTCTTTAATTTTCATAGTTATTTCCATGTTTTTATAACAAGTTGATTGATTTTTCTTGGTTTTTGAAACTGCTCTTCTAATTGTAGATTTACATACATCTCAAATCTTATCAATAAAATAATGAAGTTAAATTTTATGACAGCAGGTCTAATTGTTTTTAGGTTTAACCATCAAAATGTAACAAAACCATGACAACGATTTTGATGTGTAACAGAATCCCTTGTTAAAAGTCTATCACAAACGTTTACTCACACACACACAAAGGAAGAGACATTCTTTGGGAGAACAGACCAAACTATGTGACTGTATTTGTTAGGAAATTTTAATTTTTATGTATTTGTAACAACTTCATTCTCATGTAATAACACTAAAGTAAAATAACTCCAGAATTTGGGTTGTATAATACATAAGCTTTTCCTACTAACTCAAAATTATGAAAAGTTTTATATAATATCAGTAACAAAAGGTAAAATGACTAAGCAGCATAATTAGTGACATACATTCACACATTAGTGACACACAAGCAAAGTGAGGATTTGAGAACAATACTTTTGATCTTTCTAAACATAAATCTAGCCTAGTAAAAGTTACAGAGTGATTAAAAAATCAGGGATAATCACATGGATCACCACAAAATGTCACTGTAGTTCCCATTAAAATTTCCACCTTGAAAGTATAGCTTGTCATATATAAATTATATTTCAGATCTAAAAATATGCTAATAAGTGGACCAGCCCTAGATTCACTAAGATAAAGGATAATGAAAAGCATTAATATCAGTTAATAATTTCATTACTTATTGACAGTTTGGAATTCGATGACGAGGAATCCACTTTGAGACTAATAATGGTTGGAGACGAATTGAATGGGTAATG